TCATATACGTTCTAGTCTCCAATCCCCTATCCAGCCACCAGTCCCCCATCTTAATGTATGGTGTGAAGGTGAAGGAAAATATATTAAGTTACTCTCTTATAAAATGTTAAAAGGTTGCTTTTGTATTCCTTTACAATGTTAACTGTATAAGTCATTATATTCTTGCCTAAAATGTGTAATAAGTACTGGGCATTTGCTAAACACAAAATGTTCAGTGAACAAGACAAAATAATGTTTGTTATTCCAAGCTGTTTACAGGAGCAAGTTAGATAGGAAGCCATCTGCTCAGACGAAAAGCACCAGAAAAAAAGCCAAATAAGAGATAGGGGCCTCATAAGAAATTGTCAGGTTGACCCTTTAGAATATGGAATGATGAAAGAAACGATGTAAATGAATGAGCAGGAATGGGGGGGGAGTTTTTTAGGAGTAGCATCTATAAAATGTATTGTTTGAATGCTATTCTTTGCTGTCCCTTTGTACTCAATCCACTTGGGAAGAGACTTGGAGGCTGCCTTTGCAAATGCTTTTTTATTTTTCTGTAAATAAACCTCCTTGAATTGTGAACCAGACTTGTCTCTGGGTTGTGAGGATTTAATAATTGGGTTTCCATCTCACAAAGGGATCAGCATCCAATCCAGCTGGACAGCTGTAAAAGCACCCCACACCCCAAAGGAAGACATTTTGGTACAAGCGAGTGGCACCATAAAGATTAAAAACTCTGAGCTGCGTTGCCAATATATTTAATGAAGTAACTTCATAACCGCCACCTTTATTTCCTCTAGGAATCCTCAAGAGCATTTCCGAGAAGGAGAAAATGGAGAAAATACTGAAGTTTCCACGTTGTTGACTTGCAATGAAAAGACGTCGTGCTGCCTTGAAGGTGCCATGCACAGCTCTTCTTTTGAAGAATCCTGTTTTGAGTGTCACCCTCGCTTGAAAACCTGTGTGCTTGTCTGCCCTTCACAACGGAGCTCCTACACAGAAAGACAGCCATACAGTATTGAGGCTTCAGTGATGGGAACCCAACCTCAAGCTACTTTTAGCCAGGATGGGTTGTGGCATCTCAGGTCCAACCCACAATCCAGCTCACCTCCCCGCTTAACTAAAGCCAAAGTAGGATCAAAATTCCAGCCTTACATTAGCATCTAAACATCATTTGATTTACATTCCTCTGCTTCCATTTTACATGACTTGGGATAGGTTCACAATTTGCCTGCAAGATGCTTCATTATGCTAATTTATGTTTAAGCATTATTGACAGAACAAGCCACAATTGCTTGGGTTTAAGACCACATGGGACACTGAGCTTGTCGATCAGAAAGGTTGGCAGTTTGGCAGTTCAAATCCCTAGAGCCGCGTAACGGAGGGAGCTCCCGTGACTTGTCCCAGCTCCTGCCAACCTAGCAGTTGGAAAGCACGTAAAAATGCAAGTAGGAAAATAGGNCAGAGGAAAAAATAATACAAGCCACTTTATTTAAATAGGCCAACCTGAGATTCGGTTATAGGTCTTTTCACCTGAGTGAGAAACCTCCCGCCCCCCAATCTGCTATTCTAATTCCAATCAGGATGTTCCAGGGATCCCATCTTTTTCCTCTTCCATGTCTCTGGGGGAAGAGTTGCCTTGCCTGCCTACCCACCCACCCTCCTACAGCAGAGAGCAAGAATTTGGCAATGGGCCTCATGTGCAGCTGATAGGTTCTTATTGCAACAGCAAATGCTTGGTAAATTATTACCTTCATCCAGCAGCCACCACGTCATCTTGATGGTTTTGGAAGCTGTGGAAATGACTTTGCATAAAGATGCCTGTTGTTGCAACCTGATCTCCCCCAATAGAAAGAAAATACAACCCAGCATAATGGGGGGGGGCGGGGGGGGGCAGAAAGAAAACTAAAAGTGATCTTTTGAAACTGACCACAATGGTCAGGTTCTCTGCAATAGGAGCACCAATCATTTCCAGATTGAACGCACAGCACAGATCCCTTCCTGTTTACTTACTTCCTCTCCCCCTATGATATTCCTGTCTCTTTCACCCGAGGGAGGTTCCCTGAAGTCCCCATGATGTAATCGTGTGGTAGTTCCTGGTGGTTGGGCAGGAATTCCACCACTCAGATATTGTAAATATGCCCCGGTGTGGCATCTGTAATTCCATGGCCAATCTTGTATTTGGAAACAAAGAATTCTTAAGCACCTTCTGCATAAGGGCACAGTGTCCCAAACAGAAATAATCCTTGCTTCAAGGGTACCTAACCTACTTTTTGGAGGATCTTCCCAAGGAATCTCTGTTATGGAGCTGGGGAAAAATATTTCCTCCTGCAAAACCAAGACGGTAACAAACAACCTTGAGAGCGCTTGGAATAGATCCCCACTGCATCCCCAGCCAGAAGGCCAACTGATAAAATGTAAAGACAAATTCAAATCTCTTGTTTATGGCAACTTGACCTCCAGTAAATGATGACATGATGGTAATTGTGTCTAAACAATTGCAGATGGTTTTTAGCTGGTTTCAGTAGCCTTTTTTTAAACTAATGGTCAAGAAGGTTTGACATGGAAACTAATCAAGAAGCGAAGCAACCTGGAATTAAGGAGACACTTCCTAACAGAGAGGACAATTAGCCAGTGGAAGATCTTGTCTTCAGAAGTTGTGGGTGCTCCATCACTGGAGGCTTTTAAGAAAAGACTGGACAGCCACCTGTCTAAAATGGTACAGGGTCTCCTGCCTGAGCAGGTGGTTGGACTAGAAGGCCTCCAAGGTCCCTTCCAGCT